TCTCAACTCCTGCCTCCTGACACTGCTGTGCTCTCCTGGCTAGCACCTCATTCCAATCTAGCCCTCACTACCTGTGCTTATTCTCAACCTGCCTGATTCTCACATACCTATAAAAACCTGTCTCTACCTTAGTAACCAATGCATTCCCCAAAGGATTAGGGAGCTCTTACAGCAACAACAGCAAAACACATACAATAAAACAACAAAATGTAAGTAAAAAACTGCTAAGAGGCTACATGTGAAAAAATACGGAGAAGAAAATTAAGCCACATGTATGTATGTGTTTGAGTGTATGGAAGCCAAAACAAAGAGATATGGTCAGTTACGAAGTCCTCATTATCTAAGTGAAGGAATCTTGTTGGTGTCCAGTGAGAGCTCTCCCTTCCATTTGGGTCTAGGATGAATGTTTCCCTTGAGGTCTCATATGGGGAGAGCCAAATAGATCCTACCCTTAATAAAATCCTAAGGTGGAGGCTCTTTCTTGCAGACACATTTGATAAAAGGCAATAACATAATTCCAAATACATTACACCATTTAATAGTTTCCTGATATTTCCTAGGTGGCAGTAAAACAAACAAACAAACAAACAAACAAACAAACAAACAAACAAACAAAAAACACTTCAGAGTACCAGTTCTAGGTAATGTGGGCTGGGTGGGAATATATTAAAATAGGATTCTTTTGGGGTTGCATACCTTAAATATATACAATAAAACAGACTGTAAATATTTAATTACAAAATAAAATTCAAATAAAAGAGGCAATTCAGTTTTCTACAGGAATAAAATTATCCTAATGGTGGGAACATCAGGGATCTAGGAAGAGCACCCTTTTTTTCATTTAGGAGGATTTCTGTATGTCCCAGCCCCTCAAATTAAACCATAATATAGACCCAACTTCAACAGACTGTAAAAAGAAACATCAAGAACTAGGTTGTTTGCTAAATTTTATCATGCTTTTCTTTTAGGGAAAATGCCCTATTCTTTATTCATCTGGTCTACTTCCTTCTTTCTTATCCTATTTTATTCAGATATAATTCCATTGCTTCAAATGCCAACTCTTCACTTTCTATTGTTAGACTGGATTTTAGTAATCTCAAATATTTTAATTTTTAAAAAATTATCTGGATTATGAGATCCCTTGGGACATACAGATATTCTTATTGAAAGGAGTTTCGTCCTCTGATGGCTGGATATCTGATTCGAAAAAAACCGTTTTGCTATAATATAGCAATAATAGAAAATCCCTGGAGTATGAGTCATTACACCTGGTTATAATTCTCTCTTTCTCCAATTCATGGTCTAATTCTGGAGAAATAAATGTTCTTCTCTGTTCACCCCTAAAGTGGGGAAGGTTGGGCTAAGCCACCTATGAAGTCCTGTGAAGCTTTAATGATCATTTTGTCTGTGATACTTTAATGTGTCCTAAATACCAATTATAGCTCTACACTCTACCAAGAGTTCTGTGTGCCCACAGTGAGTCCAGGTTTCCCACAGTACCAGAGACAAGTACGTATGAGGATCTGATTCTTTTCTTCTTTTAAGGGAAGAGATGAGAATTAAGTAGTCAGGCTACCTAGATAACTGTTTAAGTTATATCTACTCACTATAATTCTGATAAACCAAAGTAAGCTCCAGACTCTCTGATCTGGCAAAGTGGTAGAGTGGGAAAATTTCTGGAAACCGTTAAAGAAAAATTATTCAACTATTTACCAGACACTTGTTAAAGAGAGCAAGACAGATTTTATTCAAAAAGACTGCAACAGGGATCAAGATTATTGCAACAGGAGGGAGATTGAGCTCAACTCCAAATATAATAAAGACAAGTGGAAATTTATAAGCAATGAGCAGAGTGAGGGAGTCAGTGGATGAAAAATTATTAACAGAAAACATTGAGGCTAGGGTGATTCTTGGTAAACTTCCTTAAGAGGATTCCTGCTAAAGACAGATCAATGCCTTAGATATAAAGACTTTGATATCAAGGATGGGGGATGAGAAATTTGATCAGATATCAAGGGGGGGGGATTCTCACTAAACTGACTGAGCAAAATTCTTGCTGAAATGGCTCAGCAAGGACAAACATGGAAGGCCAAGGTTGAGGCCTAGGTGAGAAGAGGGCTCAGAGGAGACTCACTAAAATTTGGTCAAGGAGGGAGTCTTTGATAAGTCAGAAAAATGATTTGGATGTCAATCATTGATTTGTCATTTACTGACTTTGCAATTATGCAGATAGGGGCAAGTCAAACTGTTCTAAGCTTCAGTTTCCCCATATATAAAACGGAGATAATCATAATCATTCTAAAGATCCCACAGAGACTACTTGGGAATCAAAGCCAAGACCAGAAGATGAAAGCTGTTGGGTAAAGTAGAAAACACTGGGCACCTGTGAAAAAGTTATTCTTGCAGAGCAGAGCATAAGCCCTGGTCGAATGACCACAGTTCATGCATCTCTAGTCAGAGTGAGGACATAGGAGAGTGATGGTTCTTCCTGTCATCCCAGGGTATTTTTTTTTTTTTCCTTTTTTTGTCTTTTTTCGTGTCTGGCAACGGATCGCAACCCTCAGTGTCGCGCCCATAACGGACCGGACAGGCAACGGGATCGCAACCCTCGGTGTTGCGCTGGCACCTCGCTCAGCCAGTGAGTGGGAACCGGTCTGTATGTGGGATCCGAACCCTCGGTGGGAGCGCCGCTACGCTCCCAAGCGGCGCACTGTAGCAGTGTGCCACCGGGCCGGCCCCCATCCCAGGGTACTTACAGTAGAAAATAAAGAACCATTCAGAAAACAAATTTCCAGACCACAAATGGAAGGCTAGTCAGTCTCTGAGTACTCGTGATGACCTGGATGCTTGAGAGAGCCATATAACAATATATGATCACTGATGTTGCCACCCCATGACACCATACTTCTAACCGTAATGTATCTTAACCCAAGGTAGACATGGAAGAGGGTCGTCCCCATCATGGACCAGGCCAACCACACCACTGTGAAGGAGTTTGTCTTCCAGGAGCTTACTCGCTTCCGGGAGCTGGAGTTCTTTCTGTTTGTGGTCTTCCTTGCTGTGTATGTAACAACCATCCTAGGAAATGCCCTTATTGTTGTCACCATCACCTGTGAATCCTGCCTCCACACTCCCATGTACTTTCTTCTGCGGAACAAATCAATCCTGGACATTGTTTTTTCATCTATCACCGTCCCCAAGTTCCTGGTGGATCTTTTATCAGAGAGGAAGACCATCTCCTACAATGGCTGCATGGCACAGATGTTTTTCTTCCACTTTGCTGGTGGGGCAGATATTTTTTTCCTCTCTGTGATGGCCTATGACAGATACCTTGCAATAGCCAAACCCTTGCACTATGTGACCATTATGAGGAGAGAGGTGTGGGTGGTCTTGGTGGTGGCCTCCTGGGTGGGTGGTGCTTTGCATTCAATTGCCCAGATAATTCTGATGATTCCACTCCCCTTCTGTGGCCCCAACATCCTGGATGCCTTCTACTGTGATGTGCCCCAGGTGGTCAAACTGGCCTGCACGGACACCTTTGCTTTGGAGCTTCTTATGATCTCTAACAATGGACTGGTGACCCTGCTTTGGTTCCTTCTGCTGCTGGTCTCCTACACCATCATTCTGGTGCTGCTGAGATCCCACCCTGGTGAGGGGCGGAAGAAGGCCCTCTCTACCTGCACCTCCCACATCCTGGTGGTGACGCTTCACTTCATGCCTTCCGTTTACATCTACTGCCGGCCCTTCATTACCCTGCCCATAGACACAGCCATATCCATTAATAACACGGTCATCACCCCCATGCTGAACCCATTGATCTATACCCTGAGGAACCAACAAATGAAGTCAGCCATGAGGAGACTGCAGAAGAGGCTTGGACCTTCTGAGAGCAGTAAACTGGGGTGAGCAGTCGGATTAATGGAAGTCTAAGACTGATTTAATTTTCTCAAACTGCTAGCCTCAGAGCAAGAGACAGCTAGCTCTTTTCAGTCAT